AATATATGATTAGGTATTATATGTATGACAACAATCGGAAAAAGTGCATTGCAAAGTGTACTAGGGGATGGAAGACAGGAAAATGTGCAGCAATGAATGAATAAATAAAAAAAAAGAGAGAGAGATTACATCAGACAATAGACCAAAGGACTGTATGAAAATTTCAGTAAAATATTTAAGTTTGCTATGTCAAATCACTTTCATTGTATGAAGGAGTCAGTCATCCTATGTAAATTATTAGACAATGTCTTTAACTTGATAGACTTTAGAACCATTCTTGTGTTCACGTAATGACGATTAAAATATTGGATTTAAAATAAAAAAAAATCACTTCTTGTTATCAACAACAGTTTAACACACAAATCACTGCTCATCTCTGTTAGTGACAAGAATTATTTCATTATATTATTTCATTATATTATTCAAATAATATTATTTGTTAGTATGAAGCCCAATTCTATGCACAGATAGACATTTACTGAACAGTTCATGAAAATGAAATACGATTCAAAGAAACCCAATATATGTTGTATACATGTTAAAACGGAATATCTTAGGGAGAGAATTGTTTAAAAGGGACATATGAATGGGTATTCTTGTCATTACAGAAGTCCACAGTGAAGGCTGCATAGTGGAGTGGACCTGGGGGGAGGGATTGCATAACAATAAAAGAGTTTTTTCTTTTCAAGGAGAAGAGTAAATTGGGCAGGGGTAGGGGTGGGCAGGGACAAAAGTGCAACAGTGAATGACTGGAAATCCTAAGTCTCTGTAAACTTTCATTAAAATGAATAAAAAAAAAGGAATATCTTATTATAAATACAAATGCACTATTTACAGAGTGCTTTCCTGTTAAAGGTCTATGCACAGTGGAATGAACTAAGCATGTGTGGAGTTGATCTTTTAATATGAGTTTCCTAACTATTTAATCTGACTTGACCATGTGGACGGGCGGGAACATGTGAACAGGGCGGGTTAGCCTAGCCACCACGGGACTGGCCCTTTTACCTTCCACAAGGGAACTGGCTGGTCTCATCAATCTACAAGAGGACTGGCTAGACCCGTCAATAAACCAGGCGGCTCCAGGAACAGATTAGACCTTTCCCACCAGCAAGGGAGCAGCAGCAGAAGCAAGAGAATGTAACACGTGAATGAAACGTACAGTGACAGGAACTTTGGTGGCTCAGTGCACAACTTGACAGGCTGCTAACTGAAAAGCTGGTGGTTCGAATTCACTAGCCCAGCTGCTGCAGAAAGATATGCACTCAAACGGAGAGCTGTTACGAGTCAGAACCTACGGAGTGGTCCACAGAGAAGCCTCTTAAGAGACTGGTAACTGCTTCTTCATTCCTTTGTCTTTTATGTTGTTACTGTGTTCTGTTAGTTGGAACTGACTCATAGTTGACCCTCCATTGGGTTTTTCAGAGACAGTTAATTGCTTGAAAGGAGACGGCCCATCCTTCTCCTGCAGAGCAGCTAGTGGATTTGAACTGTGTGTATTCAGGATTGCAGTGCAGCTTCTTACCACTAGGCCCCCAGAGCTCCCTTGTCTTTAATGTTGTTGTTGGTGTTATGTGCCATCGAGTCACCTGCAATTCATAGGGACCCTCTGTACAGCAGCTCTGAAGTCTGCCCTGTCCTGAGCCAATCTCATTAATTCCAACCCACCTACTCCTGATGTCCCAGTTACTCTATTGATCCATCTCACCCGGGGTCTTCCTCTCCTGCATTATCCCTCCATCCTTCCAAGCATTACGACTTTCCCCAGGGACTGGTCCCTCTGGCCATGTGCCCAAAGTATGTGAGACAGAGCTTGAAAATCCTAGCCTCCAAGGAGAGACTTGGTTTCACCCTCTCCAAAGCACACTTATTTGCCTTCTTGTCAGTCCATGGTGCGTTCAAGACTCTCTTCCAGCACCACAACTCGAAGGCATAGACTCTTCAGCATGCCAGATCTAAAGGAGACATAGCCCTCACCTTGGATATTATCGTATTGTGACAGCATGTGGTGTAAAAGGAAGATCAGAGACACTAAGTAACAAGATGACACTGCTAGAGAAGAAACTCAGTGGCAAGAACCTTTTTCTGCACTGCCTTAGACAAAAATCCTTCCCTGACCCTAGTACATGGGATTTGGACTTAAATCCTCCTAAATATGAGAGAGGGATCCGCATGAGAGACCAGCAGCATTGTGAGGTGCAGGCCATCACAGAAGTGACTCGTGGCCTAAGCCATCCTATCAAGGGGTGGCTGGGAGGAGACAGGTGCTGGATGGACAGGGAAGGCAGGAGTTCAAGGGATGCTGATGTAGCAGAGAAAGGGAAGAGACAAGACACACATGGGGAGGAGGGGGCATTGTATGTATTGGTTTTCTCTGTCAGGGGAAGTGTCTTCCAGCTGCTCCTTTTGGTAAAATGCCCGTCTGTCAGATATTGTTCGAAAGTAAGCATCCAACTTAAGACAGACTAGGAAGAAGGGCTGGCCATCCGCTTTTGAAATAGAACAGGCTTTTGAAAACCCTATGTACAATAGAACACACTTAGAATAACATAATGTTTGAGGTTGAGCCCTCAAATTTGTAAATACAGAGGAGGAAAAGGAAGCAGAAACTAATGATTGGAATGTGGAATGTGAGAAGCATGAATGTAGGAAAACGGGACATTGTTAAGGAAATGGAGCACACAAATATTGATATATTAGGTATTGGTGAAATGGGATGGATTGGCATGGGACATTTTAAATCAGATGACCATATGATCAACTATGCCAGAGATGAAAAGGTGAGGAAAAAACATAGGTAATTTTATACTCTATTACTGAGAATCTGAGAAATGTGAGAAAAAAGTATAAGGAATGTAAAACAAACTTACAGTCCTTAGAAATAATAAAAGAAGCCCTAGAGACACAAGCAGTTAAGTGTTTGGCTGCAAACTGGAAGACTGGTGGTTCAAAGCCACCTAGCTGCTACACAGAAGTAAGACTTGGTGATCTGCTTCTGTAAAGGCTGTTGTTGTTGTTGTGTACTGTGGAGTTGGAACTGACCCATAGCTGACCCTCTGGTGGGTTTTCAGAGACAATTATGGGAGGAGACTGCCCATCCTTCTCCCATGGAGCAGCTAGTGGCCTTGAACCATGTGCCTTCAGGATTGCAGCACAGCTTCTTGGCATGGAGCCACCAGGTTACAGCCAAGGAAATGAGTCTGGGGAAGTTCTCCTGTCACCTGGGTGTGTATGAGTGAAAAAAGACCTGAGAGCACCCAAGAGCTACAAGGACAAACTGCTGAGATGGGTCCTTATCATAAGTACGTATGCTGAGCCTCATTCCACCGTAATCCTTGCACCAAGAAGCAAAATACCTGACTTTCCTTCCCCACTGACATATTTCCAGAAAGGTTATGTGAACTGTGGCTAAGACTACAAATGGGATCTCAGCAATTACATCTGTAGCACAGGAGGACGTGCTATCAAGGATTCTGACAAGGTATCACTTAATCTGTATGCTACTCATCGATCACCTCTTCCTATCACATATGGTGCTAATCACACACATTATCTGTGAAATGCTTTGTAAATATTCATGCCCTATCCAGACTTGCACGGATGTTACTGGTGTTTTGTGCTGTTGAGTGGGAACCAGCCTGTAGCCGACCTTGCAGTGAGTTTTCAGAGGCTATACCTGCATGATAAAAAAGGCCTTACAGGTTCCTTGTAGCGCTCACTCCCTACCTTCCCAAGACCAGGAAATTACCCATACTGACCCCTGTTGTTTGTTGTTGTTCTGTGCCACTGAGTCACCTGCAACTCATAGTGACCCCTATGTACAACAGCCCTAAACCCTGCTCTCTACTGTGCCAATCTTATTGTCTCTGACACACCTAGCCCCCATTACCTAGTCACTGAATCAATCCATCTCATCGAGGGTCTGTCTCTCCACTCTCTCAAACATGAGGTCCCTCTCCAAGGACTGGTCCCTCCTTGCAACACATCCAAAGTATGTTATAAATAGAATGGGAAGAGACTGTCCGTCACTGGTGGCTGGTTTCAAACCACCTGCCTTTGATTTGGCAGCACAACTTCTTACCACTGGGCCACCAGAGCTTCCTCAGACTTGCCTAAAGTATTATAAATTGCTTGCCTCCAGAAACTCTATGAACTTGGGAGAAAAAAATGAGAGCTTTGAGTTCAAGACTTTCGTTCATAGGGTTGCTATGCATCATCTACGACTCTACAGCACTTAACAACAGCAACAACAATTTGTTCCGAGGACAATTAAAGCCCCTAGGAGGTCAGGGAAGCATGAGGAGGAGTGCAGGCCTAGTTCTAAACAACAAAGAATCAGGGGGGATCCTGGAGAGCCAATGACCATATCATATGGGGGGTTTCTTTACGAACTAAACCACAAAAGAGAAACATGTTTGCTGGCAGGTAGATTTCACAAGAACAAAATAGTGAGATTACACTTTTCCCCCTCAAACGCTTCCATTTTCCTGAGCCTGCCAGCTACATCTCAGACTATGCTAAGCACAGAAATGTAACAGGTCTTCAAAATATAAGTATTTTACATCATAATGTCTTTTTTTAACACAATTAATGGCCAGAAGGAGTCATAAATGGGAATCTGGACTCCTAGTGAGCCGACGTGTAAAAAGTCCATTCTCCAATCTCGCAGGTGCACAGGCCCGTTTGCTCACAGCCCCTCCCACCCCCACCGTTTTCTGCTGACTATCTGCAGACTTGACTTCACTCTGGGACGTGTTGTTAAGACCCAGTCTTGGAGCTTTTGTCTCTGGAGGTTTGTAATTGAAAAGGATGCACGGTGCTCGTTACCATGCCCGTGGTGCCAAACGGCGAGGGGTGAAGTGTTGAGACGAACTGTAATTACAAGCTCACCTGCTTGGCTGTTTCGGTGAGGGCAGCGGCTTCGGCCTTGCCCAGTTGTTGCACCATCTTGTAAAATAAGCTCTCTCTATTTTGCAGCAAAACATACGGCTCATCATATTCTTTCAGTCGTCCTGAATCCAAAACCTGTTCATCAGCAAAAAGAAAGCTATTCAAACACAATGTTCGGCAGCAACATATTATAACCCAGACAATATGTCGGAAAGGGGCAAGAGGTGGAGAATGGAGAGAATCTATTTGGGTGGTAGGTCTAGATGATGTTTAAACGGCGTGATTACCCTGTTTTACTGAGCAAACAAAGGCAGGGTCTGGCCTTTTATTATTATAATGTTATAAGAAAGGAAGAAAATGAAAGTTCTAGACGATTATTACAGGCACTGAGCACTCTTATGGTCTGCTATCATTGCGACTGCTTTTAACTCTCAGATTCTGAGCATCATAATTCAGAGTTGAGAAATCTCTTGATTTAAGAAAAATCCGACTCAACAGATGGTAGTGATGTGTCAAATGCGATAATGGTCACAGTGTTGGCTGGAGCTTCCCAACTAAAACAAGCCTGGAAGCAGGAGCGGCATCCACTTCCGAAATGGCTTGCCTCTGGAAACTCTATGTACGAACAGAGCTCAGGCCGTCGGTTCATAGGGTCGCTATGAGTCGTCTATGACTCGACGGCACCTAACAACAACAGTGACCAGATAGTAAACTAACTGCCAATCTGGTTTAACAGATGTGGCACAGTATCAGGAAAAGAAGTCATTGTTTTGGAAATTCTTTGTTGTTGTTGCTGGGTGCCAATGAGTCAAGTGACCCCAAGCGATACGTAGATCTGTCCCATAGGGTTTTATAGGCAGTAATCTTTGAGTTGGCTTGGCTTCTGAAGCTGTAAGCTCACCGGGAGCAACAGGGCTCAGCTTTCTTCAGAGGATCGGCTGGGAGATTGGAATTGCTGTCTTTTCGTTCGCCTCCTGACATGTCACCAACTATGCAACCCAGCCCTTGTCTGTGGAGTCACACGCATCCTGAAGTTGGCTATGGTAGTATTAGTTAGGAACAGTTGATTATCCTGATAGTGCAAGGCTAGCTAGAAGGGCCGCTACCTAAGCGGCTTTAGCATAATTGCTTTGCACAGAAGAAATCTCCAGAAATCCAATTTTCTGTTTGGATAAAGACTAAAGAAGCAATTAAGAAATTGAGCTTCCAATTCCCGTGATCCGGGCCCACGCAGCACGCGGGGACAAGCTCGCTCTGAATCACCGAGCCCCGAGTGTCGGTTTTCCCAATTCTCTCCGCTTCTATTTTCCTCTTTCCTCAGCAGCCCGCCCTGAGCCATTTGATTGCTCATTAATACAGACACTGGAAATTGAATGGGGAGGAAGGACTCTTAACTTTGCATTTCTTTTTATTACTGGCTGAGGTTAATGGTTTCTAAGGGAGAAGTCTGAAACAATTGTCCCAAATGACATACCTAGGAAAACATTTCTAACGGTAAGTGGTACTTAGTTCCTCATTTAAGGCATATTTAGAGAGAATTTATCTTAAGAGAATCGGCTGAAATCTCAAGCGGGGCGCAAAGCTGATTTTCTCTCTTAAGTACTGCAGTTCATCCTGCCCAGGCTATTTGGTCCGAAACATTTATTAAGTTTCATAAAGGGTATTTTCTTGTTAATCTTCTGTTTGCTACCGTGAATCACTGTCAAGGGCAGTGTTCTCAACAGGAGTTCAAGAATAATTGAATCTGTCACATCCACATAATAATTAAGAGGTCCTATAATTTGGCATGCCAATTTAGATGTCCAGAATGTGTCATTTTCCTGCAGCATAGCATTACGGAGTGTAGCCACGCCTCCTGAGGTTGACGACGAATAAGGACGTAAAAAAACATTTATAAAATACAGGTCTCTTCCACGCTGGAGGCATGCGTTCACTGCCTTTGTAAAGTGACACACTTGTGATTCTGGAAATGCAACAGGCAAACTTCAAAAGCATCCCTCGCCGGCCGGCAGAAAGCGAATTCTCTGAGACACAGACTTTACCTAATTCTCAACATAAAGAAAATATTCCCAATATTTTACTCGTCTGACTTCTCTTTTACTTTTTCTTTTCTTTTTCTGCCTCATTGGCTCATAATGTAAGTTAATAAGAAATCTGATCTGAAAACATAAATGCTACTTGATATCCACATTTTTCCAGAACTGACTAGTCTCTAAAAAGGCAGGGCTAAGAAAACAAAACAAATCAACCCAAAACTAAAGCTTTTCAAAAAGCAGTAATATCAGCCATAAAAATGACATGTGTTTAAAGTATTATGAGCCTTCTAAGTGTTAGAGATTAAATGGATGTCCATGGTTTTTTATGGGGATACTTTTTCTCTTTGAGGACAGCAAAACTGGTAATTTATAAAATGACTCAATAATTTATTGCCACTTACCATTTATGAATTTTGTTTTAAAAACACAAAACGTATTTCTTTGGACAGGTATTAAAATATGGTATGTTACCATGAACTGGATTACTATATTCCTAAATGAATGAATTTACAAGGTTTGAGAGACAGGACTCTGGCGTATACATACAAGTTCATGAGGAATATGGCTAACACGAGCTCAATGCAATCACTCCATAACTAACGAGGTGCCTACTGAATTTGAGAGAAAAAGAAAACTGGTATGCACTGATGTCACATGCTTAACAGTCACCACTGTCAATTCTAAAACTGGAGTGGAAAACCAAGACAGACAACATCCGCCCTTCCATCCATCTCTCTGTCCTTACCTCCCATCCACCCATTCCTTCTCTCTCCAACCTCTGCCCCTTTTTCTCTCCTCCATCACCTTTTCACTGATTCATCCTTCTTTATCGTTGTCACTGTGTATCATCAAGTCAGAACCAATACATAGCTTACCTTCCTGCAGGTTTTCAGAGGCACTGAGTCACACAGGAGGAAACTTCCTATCTTTCCACTGCAAAGCAGCTGATGGATTTGAACTGCGTACTTTTGGGTTGCTAGCGCAACTTTTTACCACTAGACCACCAGAGCTCATTCATCTTTCGATAACATATCAATTATCTATTATCAAAGCTACATGGTGGGAAGGATCTATTTATTGCTGAACAAGACACAGCCTGTCAAGAAGCTCACAGCCAGAGATAAATACTGAAATACTGAGGTTAGCGAAGTTATGTAATTAGACCACGGTTGCAAAATCAGAAGACAGAAGAGCACGGATTTGAACTAGTTCTAAGTCTGTAATTCTTTTTCTAAGTTTCCAAAGAAAGGTCACTGACAAATTATATACTACGGAATATATATAT